CCAGTTGATTGACGGTTGAGAGGCGGGACCAAAGAGCCAGAGCTCAACCCCCGCAAGCACAATTAGGTGAGTACAATTAGGTGAGTACACACACACACACACACACACACACACACACACACGCGCACACACACACACACACACACCACACCACACCCACACACACACACACACACACACACACACACACGCACACACACACCCACACACACACACGCACAAACACACACACACCACACCACACAAACACACACACAAACAACACACACACACACACACACACAAGAGTGAGAGTGGTGTGGGAGGGAGAGAAGCAGAGAGAACGGAGGCAGGGAATTATCATGTGAAAGCGCCAAGCCATTACGACTATATAGCACTGGGAAAGGGTCAGGATAAGGATTTGGGCTGGGACGGAGGGAAGGAATGTTACCCCAATTACTTGGACACCACTTGGGAATGGGAGAGAAAGACCTCGGGCACCGCCGGGTAGCTTATATAGTAATATATAGATAATAATATATAACTAATATTATATATATATATATATTAATATATATATATACAAATATATTTACTGTCGATGGTAACTGAAAAATCAATTCTTCAAAATTCATTTTTATTTCTAGTCTGACGCGACACTTGAACGCGTTTCGTAATAACTTATTACATTTTCAAAGACTTTAATTTACGCACACACAACTGTAACCTGAAAACACTAAACAGAGTTTTACTTATGATAACACTTAAACAGTTTGTCTTATATACTCGCACTTGGGTGAGGTGATGTGTTGTAACAGTTTTGGATGATGTGAACAAACTTTTGTCAAACACAAGACAGAACACGGAACAATGGGTATTAATTGGATATATGAGAGCATAAGAATGGAAGTAACTGCAAAGGGCCTATTGGCCCATACTTCCTCTTGATGCTTCTATATTGGTACGAAGTCTTGAAGTGGGTAGAATATAGTTGAGCATTAATTGGCTGTTGATTGCTGGTGTTGACTTTTTGATGTGTAGTGCCTCGCAGATGTCGAGCCGCCTGCTATTGCTGTATCTATCGATGATTTCTGTGTTGTTTGTTAAGACTTCTCTGGTGATGGTCTGGTTGTGGGAAGAGATTATATGTTTCTTAATGGAGCCCTGTTGCTTATGCATTGTTAATCGCCTGGAAAGAGATGTTATTGTCTTGCCTATATACTGAGTTCTTTGGGGCTTACAGTCCCCAAGTGGGCATTTGAAGGCATAGACGACGTTGGCCTCCTTTAAAGCGTTCTACTTTGTGTCTGGAGAGTTTTTCATGAGTAGGTTGGCCGTTTTTTTGGTTTTATAGTAAATCGTCAATTGTATCTTTTGATTTTTGTCTGTAGGGATAACGTTCCTATTAACAATATCTTTCAGGACTCTTTCCTCCGTTTTATGAGCTGTCGAAAAGAAGTTCCTGTAAAATAGTCTAATAGGGGGTACAGGTGTTGTGTTAGTTGACTCTTCAGAGGTTGCATGGCGTTTCACCTTTCTTTATGATGTTTCAAACGAAACCATTGGAGAAGCCGTTGTTAACTAGGACCTGCCTTACCCTACAGAGAGTTCTTCATCGACTTGCTTCCATCCTGAGCTGAGCTGGCTGAGAGCACGGTCGACGTAAGCGTTGACAACACTCCTTTGTATCTATAACCTATATATATATGTATGTTATATATATATATATATATATATATATATATATATATATATATATATATATATATATATATAGAAGATATCAAATATATATTTATATATAGATAATATATAATTATATATATATAATATATATTATGAAAATGTCTGTTTATTTGTCAGTCTGTTCGATTTTGGGAGCCAGACGCTTGCGGTAGTCTCACCAAACTTTGGAGGGCGACTAGTCTTTGGGGAGGGTGAGAGGTAGGTCAGGCGCTGACCCCATGACCTCCCCTGGCATGAAATGGCAAACTTTATACCAATTTCCAATCTCGCTAAATACCAGACTTCATCCTCACTAAGATTCATCAAGTTTGTTATTTTCTACATAATGATTATATGTGAGTTTATTGTATGTAGTTTATTGATGAACCCAGTGTTAAGTGAAGATGGTTAGTGATGAGTGGAAAATGGTGACGACTATAAAATGTGATGAAGGGACAGTGAAAGATAGGGAACATGAAGAAAGATGACGGTAAAGGTAGGATGATGATGATGGATGTAGTTCCATCTGTCTTTATTAAACGATGGTTTCCGGGGAGTAAAGATGGTTACAGTGCTGCCCGTCCTCCTAATTATTGGTTATATGATGTGTGTGTGTGTGTATGATGTATGATGGTTATACTACCTGAGTTATATTCACGGTGGTACTGAGTTATATTCAGCATTATCCTCACTTTAATAAGAATTAATTGAAATCCTCAGATTAGGCAAAATTGTAATTAATTCTGTCAATAAAGATGTTAATAATAATAACATGGTAGCGTGATGGTGCCCAGGTGTTGGCGGGGGCAACACTCTACGGATAGACATTGCCAGGTTTCATATACACATCTTGGATGTTAATTTAAAAGTACAAGGTATAAAATAATTATATATTATTAATATAATAATTAATACTAATTAATAAAATAATAATAACAATAATAATTTGTCGCATCCCAAAGGTGTGTTTGTATTCCTGTGTAGCTGTATTTGTGGCGAGTAAATACTGCTTACCATCCCTGTATGTCATGCGTGTGTACCTTCATTGTATGTGTGTGTGTGTGTGTGTGTGTGTGTGTGTGTGTGTGTGTGTGTGTGTGTGTGTGTGTGTGTGTGTGTGTGTGTGTAGATGTTCGTGTGTCTGTGTGTGTGTAGATGTTCGTGTGTGTGTGTGTCGGTGTGTTGTAGATGTTCGTGTGTGTGTGTGTGTGTGTGTAGATGTTAGTGTGTGTGTGTGTGGTGTGTAGATGTTCGTGTGTGTGTGTGTGTGTGTGTAGATGTTCGTGTGTGTGTGTGTGTGTGTGTGTGTGTAGATGTTAGTGTGTGTGTGTGTGTGTGTAGATGTTCGTCGGTGTGTGTCTGTGTGTGTAGATGTTCGTGTGTGTGGTGTGTGTGTGTGTAGATGTTCGTGTGTGTGTGTGTGTGTAAGATGTTCGTGTGTGTGTGTGTGTGTGTGTAGATGTTCGTGTGTGTGTGTGTGGGTGTGTAGATGTTCGTGTGTGTGTGGTGTGTGTGTGTGTAGATGTTTGCGGTGTGTGTGTGTCTGTGTGTGTAGATGTTCGTGTGTGTGTGTGTGGGGTGTGTAGATGTTCGTGTGTGTGTGTGTAGATGTTCGTGGGTGTGTGGTCTGTGTGTGTAGATGTTCGTGTGTGTGTGTGTGTGTGTGTAGATGTTCGTGTGTGTGTGTCTGTGTGTGTGTGTGTGTGTAGATGTTCGTGTGTGTGTGTCTGTGTGTGTAGATGTTCGTGTGTGTGTGTGTGTGTGTGTAGATGTTCGTGTGTGTGTGTCTGTGTGTGTGTGGTGTGTGTAGATGTTCGGTGTGTGTGTGTGTAGATGTTCGTGTGTGTGTGTGTGTAGATGTTCGTGTGTGTGTGTGTAGATGTTCGTGTGTGTGTGTGTCTGTGTGTGTAGATGTTCGTGTGTGTGTGTGTAGATGTTCGTGTGTGTGTGTGTAGATGTTCGTGTGTGTGTGTCTGTGTGTGTAGATGTTCGTGTGTGTGTGTGTAGATGTTCGGTGTGTGTGTGTGTAGATGTTCGTGTGTGTGTGTGTAGATGTTCGTGTGTGTGTGTGTAGATGTTCGTGTGTGTGTGTCTGTGTGTGTAGATGTTCGTGTGTGTGTGTCTGTGTGTGTAGATGTTCGTGTGTGTGTGTGTAGATGTTCGTGTGTGTGTGTGTAGATGTTCGTGGTGTGTGTGTGTGTGTGTGGTGTTGTGTGTGTGTGTGTGTGTGTGTTTTGTGTGTGTGGTGTGTGTGTGTGTGTGTGTGTGTGTGTGTGTGTGTGTGTTGTACTCGCCTAATTGTGCTTGCGAGGGTTGAGCTTCGGCTCTTTGATCTCTCCTCTCAACTGTCAGTCAAGTTGTGCACAGGTTCCTGAGCCTATTGGGTTCTATTACATCTTCATATGAAACTGTCCCAACACCATCTCACTGCTTAGTGCAGTACGTTTGTTAATTACTCTGACGTTGCTTTTTGTGCTCCGTTCTTTTCGGTGCCCAGTTTTCACCTGTCCCCTTGTGCGTGTACCACCTGTGATAAGTTGTGTCTTTAACTCTTAAGAATTATGTACGTAGTAATCATGTCTCCCTTAACTCTTCTGTCTTCCAGTGATGTGAGGTTTAATTCCTGTAGCATTTTCTTGTAACTGATACCTAACGGTTTTGTGACTAGTCTGTAACATACCTCTGAACTTTCTTCAACTTCCTGTTGTACTTACTAAATATGGGCTCCACACTGGGGCTGCATACTCCAGGATTGGCCTGACGTATGTGATATACAAGATCCTAAATGATATCTTACACTTTCTATTTTTTTGTTACGTCAATATTTACACGAGGGTCCACATCGTTAGTACTATATATAAACGGGAGGACGGACTGCTTATGGGGTACTGTGTCAAAGGCTTCCTGACAGTCCAGAAATATGCAGTCTGCCCCATCCTTCTCTGTCCTGTGTATGAGTGTGTGCATGTGTGTGTGTGTGTGTGTGTGTGTGTGTGTGTGTGTGTGTGTGTGTGTGTGTGTGTGTGTGCATGTGTGTGTGTGTGTGTGTGTTGTGTGTGTGGTGTGTGTGTGGTGTGGGTGTGTGTGTGTGTGTGTGTGTCATTAACTATCAGAAGTGTTAGCGTGTTGAGGAGTAATAATAGTTTTGTGTGTGTGATTTGTACAGTGCTGCTGACGTGTGTGTGTGTGTGTGTGTACTACGGGCTCACCATAGCCCGTGCTACTTGGAACTTTTTGTTCCCGGTGGCGAATCTTAAACAAAAAGAACAAGACCAACAAGTGTGTGTGTGTTACAGGTGATGGTGGGGTGGCGTCGCAGCGCTCTGGTCCGCGGCAGCGTCCTGCTGAACGTGGTGTTCGCGCTCTACGTGGCCATCCACGTGGTGTCGCCCCCCCGCCTCCTGGCCCCCCGCGCCCCCCTCGCCCTCCTCCACGACAACCTCACCACCTCGCCCGACCTCGCCGACTACCCGACTGAGGGCGCCGGCGACGCCATCCCCGACGATCCCTCCGACCCTCCGGTGCCGCCCACGCCCGCGCCCACGCTTCAAGAGAAGGTGTACCCGGACCTACACGCCTGCCACACGCCCACGTTGACCGCACGCCCCGCCCTGCACGGCACACATTGGGTGCTGTACAACTTCGTGCCGGCCGACACCCAGCCGGCGTGCAACGAGTCGGTGACGTACACGACGCACGCCGACTTCACCTTCCTGGACAACGTGGTGCCGCTGGTGGAGCGGTGGCGCGGGCCCGTCAGCGCCGCCGTCTTCGCCCCCGGCGCCGACTTCAACGCCACGGTGCGCACTGTGGCCTTCCTGCGCACCTGCCGCCCCCTGGTGGCCAAGCACGTCACCTTCCACCTCTTCTTCCCCGCCGACCACATGCCCGCCCACGTCCCGCCCACCGCCCACCTGCTGGCCCAACGCCCGTCGTGCTCCACGCCGCCCCCGTACCTCGCCGCCCACACCTACAAGCGCGCCCACAACTTGACGTACCCCGTCAACATAGCGCGCAACATCGCACGTCGCGCGGCGGCGACGTACTTCGTGCTGGCCAGCGACGTCGAGCTCTACCCGTCGCTCGACTTCATCACCTTCTTCATGGAGATGACGCGACGTGTAGACGCGTCGCGCGCCGCCGCCCCGACGCGACGCGTCTACGTCCTCCCCATCTTCGAGGTGAAGAGCGGCTTGCGTCCCCCGGCCACCAAGCCCGCGCTGGTGCGCATGCTCAAGCGCGGGGCGGCCATACCCTTCCACAAGTTCGTGTGCCCACAGTGCCACAAGGTGCCGGGCATGCGCGAGTGGGCCGACTCCAACGCCACCGACACCGTTAACGTGGTGATGGTGGCCAAGCGGCACCCACCTTACCACCACTGGGAACCTATCTACGTCGGCACCCACCTCGAGCCTCTGTACGACGAGAGGCTCTCGTGGGAGGGACGCTCCGACAAGATGACGCAGGTACGTGGGCTTAAGCTTGACGCTCTAGTGCGTCACTCTAGGCTCTAGTGCGTCACTCTAGGCTCTAGTGCGTCACTCTAGGCTCTAGTGCGTCACTCTAGGCTCTAGTGACTCTATTACACTAGTCACTTTAGTTTATCTTAAGTCTAGTCTCTGGTAAGTCTGTAGTAAGTGTTTCTGGTAATTACTAAGTCATACACACTTAACTCAGGTTGTGTGACGTATGCTTCTATGGTAAGTTGGCCAAGTGTGAGTATGTTGGGCAAGTGTGAGTTGGCCAAGTGTGAGTATGTTGGGCAAGTGTGAGTTGGCCAAGTGTGAGTATGTTGGGCAAGTGTGAGTAAGATGAGCAAATGTCAGTAAGTTGGCCAAGTGTGAGTAAGATGAGCAAATGTCAGTAAGTTGGACAAGTGTGAGTAAGTTGGACAAGTGTGAGTAAGTTGGGCAAGTGTGAGTAAGTTGGACAAGTGTGAGTAAGTTGGACAAGTGTGAGTAAGTTGGGAAAGTGTGAGTAAGTTGGACAAGTGTGAGTAAGTTGGGCAAGTGTGAGTAAGTTGGACAAGTGTGAGTAAGATGAGCAAATGTCAGTAAGTTGGACAAGTGTGAGTAAGATGAACAAATGTCAGTAAGTTGGACAAGTGTGAGTAAGATGAGCAAATGTCAGTAAGTTGGACAAGTGTGAGTAAGATGAGCAAATGTCAGTAAGTTGGACAAGTGTGAGTAAGTTGGACAAGTGTGAGTAAGTTGGGCAAGTGTGAGTAAGTTGATCAAGTGTGAGTAACTTGGACAAGTGTGAGTAAGTTGACCAAGTGTGAGTAACTTGGACAAGTGTGAGTAAGTTGGACAAGTGTAAATTGGTCAAGTGTGAGTAAGTTGGACAAGTGTGAGTAAGTTGGGCAAGTGTGAGTAAGTTGATCAAGTGTGAGTAACTTGGACAAGTGTGAGTAAGTTGACCAAGTGTGAGTAACTTGGACAAGTGTGAGTAAGTTGGGCAAGTGTAAATTGGTCAAGTGTGAGTAAGTTGGACAAGTGTGAGTAAGTTGACCAAGTGTGAGTAACTTGGACAAGTGTGAGTAAGTTGGACAAGTGTGAGTAAGTTGGGCAAGTGTAAGTTGGCCAAGTGTGAGTAAGTTGGACAAGCGTGAGTAAGTTGAGCAAGTGTGAGTAAGTTGGACAAGTGTGAGTAAGTTGGACAAGTGTGAGTAAGTTGGACAAGTGTGAGTAAGTTGGGCAAGTGTGAGTAAGTTGGGCAAGTGTGAGTAAGTTGATCAAGTGTGAGTAAGTTGATCAAGTGTGAGTAAGTTGGACAAGTGTGAGTAAGTTGGACAAGTGTGAGTAAGTTGACCAAGTGTGAGTAACTTGGACAAGTGTGAGTAAGTTGGCCAAGTGTGAGTAAGTTGAACAAGTGTGAGTAAGTTGACGAAGTGTGAGTAACTTGGCCAAGTGTGAGTAAGTTGGACAAGTGTGAGTAAGTTGACCAAGTGTGAGTAAGTTGGCCAAGTGTGAGTAAGTTGACCAAGTGTGAGTAAGTTGACCAAGTGTGAGTAAGTTGGACAAGTGTGAGTAAGTTGAACAAGTGTGAGTAAGTTGACGAAGTGTGAGTAAGTTGACCAAGTGTGAGTAAGTTGGACAAGTGTGAGTAAGTTGGACAAGTGTGAGTAAGTTGAGCAAGTGTGAGTAAGTTGGACAAGTATGAGTAAGTTGATCAAGTGTGAGTAAGTTGGGCAAGTGTGAGTAAGTTGGGCAAGTGTAAGTTGGCCAAGTGTGAGTAAGTTGGACAAGTGTGAGTAAGTTGGACAAGTGTGAGTAAGTTGGACAAGTGTGAGTAAGTTGGGCAAGTGTGAGTAAGTTGGACAAGTGTGAGTAAGTTGGGCAAGTGTGAGTAAGTTGGGCAAGTGTGAGTAAGTTGATCAAGTGTGAGTAAGTTGATCAAGTGTGAGTAAGTTGGACAAGTGTGAGTAAGTTGGACAAGTGTGAGTAAGTTGACCAAGTGTGAGTAACTTGGACAAGTGTGAGTAAGTTGGCCAAGTGTGAGTAAGTTGAACAAGTGTGAGTAAGTTGACGAAGTGTGAGTAACTTGGCCAAGTGTGAGTAAGTTGGACAAGTGTGAGTAAGTTGACCAAGTGTGAGTAAGTTGGCCAAGTGTGAGTAAGTTGACCAAGTGTGAGTAAGTTGGACAAGTGTGAGTAAGTTGAACAAGTGTGAGTAAGTTGACGAAGTGTGAGTAAGTTGACCAAGTGTGAGTAAGTTGGACAAGTGTGAGTAAGTTGACCAAGTGTGAGTAACTTGGCCAAGTGTGAGTAAGTTGACCAAGTGTGAGTAAGTTGGACAAGTGTGAGTAAGTTGGACAAGTGTGAGTAAGTTGACCAAGTGTGAGTAAGTTGGACAAGTGTGAGTAAGTTGACCAAGTGTGAGTAAGTTGGACAAGTGTGAGTAAGTTGACCAAGTGTGAGTAACTTGGACAAGTCACTAGTTAATCATTAGAGTATGACACTCAAGTGGTCAGGTCCGGCGTTCTGCTCATTTAATATAAGAACAACCAGCAATATATGTATCAAGTGTCGTATGTACGTGTTCACGGATATGTACACAATATGTACACTTTGTGTTACATGTGTACCATGGCTGATGGTGTGGTGCGAGTGGTTATTATATCCGGCTGGTAGTATAGGGACCCAGGGTTCGAGTCTCCCTGGAGGGCTTGTGTCTGACCTCAGCCAGTGGCCAGAGTGTGACCTTTCCTTGGCACTCTTGATCACTAGAGTGAGAGTTATCTTGTGGTTATCTTGAGATGATTTCGGGGCTTTTTAGTGTCCCCGCGGCCCGGTCCTCGACCAGGCCTCCACCCCCCAGGAAGCAGCCCGTGACAGCTGACTAACACCCAGGTACCTATTTTACTGCTAGGTAACAGGGGCATAGGAGTGAAAGAAACTCTGCCCATTGTTTCTCGCCGGCGCCTGGGATCGAACCCAGGACCACAGGATTACAAGTCCAGCGTGCTGTCCGCTCGGCCGACCGGCTCCTCAGTGTGTGGCACTCAACACCAACATCTCAACACCTGTCTTGTGGGTGTTGACAACACCTTGTGGCAGGTGTATTTACTTACAGCTTGTATCTGCAGAATCGAGCTGTTAGCTCTTGGATCCCGCCTTCCTAACCAATCTCGTTTATTATGTCTGCTACATATATTTCTCTTTTTACAAACACACACCTACACACATCCTCAGGACGCAACCCGTAGCAGCTGTCTAACTCGCAGGTACCTATTTACTGCTAGGTGAAGAGGGGCATCAGGGTGAAAGAAATTGCTCATTTTCTTTATGCCTCTGTCGAGGATCGAACCCGGCCCTTGGGACTACGACCGCAGAGCGCTGTCCATTCAGCCGCGAGGCCCCGGGTGTCAGGTCATGTGGGTATTGACACCACTGAACAACAGTTAGTATAATTTTCTTGCAAGAAGCCATCACGTCTTGATATGGTCATAACTAGCGTGGGATTAACAGCCCCTATAACATAACTAGCGTGGGAGTAACAGCCCCTATAACATAACTAGCGTGGGATTAACAGCCCCTATAACATAACTAGCGTGGGAGTAACAGCCCCTATAACATGTGGGATTAACAGCCCCTATAACATAACTAACGTAGGATTAACAGCCCCTATAACATAACTAGCGTGGGAGTAACAGCCCCTATAACATGTGGGATTAACAGCCCCTATAACATAACTAACGTAGGATTAACAGCCCCTATAACATAACTAACGTAGGATTAACAGACCCTATAACATAACTAACGTAGGATTAACAGCCCCTATAACATAACTAGCGTGGGATTAACAGCCCCTATAACATAACTAGCGTGGGAGTAACAGCCCCTATAACATGTGGGATTAACAGCCCCTATAACATAACTAACGTAGGATTAACAGCCCCTATAACATAACTAACGTAGGATTAACAGCCCCTATAACATAACTAACGTAGGATTAACAGACCCTATAACATAACTAACGTAGGATTAACAGCCCCTATAACATAACTAGCGTGGGATTAACAGACCCTATAACATAACTAGCGTGGGATTAACAGCCCCTATAACATAACTAGCGTGGGAGTAACAGCCCCTATAACATGTGGGATTAACAGCCCCTATAACATAACTAACGTAGGATTAACAGCCCCTATAACATAACTAACGTAGGATTAACAGCCCCTATAACATAACTAACGTAGGATTAACAGACCCTATAACATAACTAACGTAGGATTAACAGCCCCTATAACATAACTAGCGTGGGATTAACAGCCCCTATAACATAACTAGCGTGGGAGTAACAGCCCCTATAACATGTGGGATTAACAGCCCCTATAACATAACTAACGTAGGATTAACAGCCCCTTTAACATAACTAACGTAGGATTAACAGACCCTATAACATAACTAACGTAGGATTAACAGCCCCTATAACATAACTAGCGTGGGATTAACAGACCCTATAACATAACTAGCGTGGGATTAACAGCCCCTATAACATAACTAGCGTGGGAGTAACAGCCCTATAACATGTGGGATTAACAGCCCCTATAACATAACTAGCGTGGGATTAACAGCCCCTATAACATAACTAACGTAGGATTAACAGCCCCTATAACATAACTAGCGTAGGATTAACAGCCCCTATAACATAACTAGCGTGGGATTAACAGCCCCTATAACATAACTAGCGTGGGATTAACAGCCCCTATAACACGGCAGGTTTACATTCTGCGTGAAGCCTCGAGCTCCCTTATGCAGTCTCCGCCAAAGGGCGAGTCTTGCAATAAGTATAATGATTAGTATCATTTGGCCGTCCCTTATTGAAAACTCACACCCCAGAAGTGACTCGAACCCATACTGCCAGGAGCACTCTGCTGGCGTACGTCTTGGGAATCACTGTTCGTAACTAGTGTCAGCAGTGAGTTCATTAACATCTATATGAATATGGCCAACATTGTTATC